TTTTGGGGGGAAATTTTCCCTCAAAATCTCAACCTTTACGTCGCTAATTTTAGTGATGGATTCCAAAATCCGTCATTAACTTTAGGCCATTTTGGGAGAATTTCCCTCCAAAAAGGCACAAATTAGTGACGGATTTGATGTCCATCACTAATTGAAGTCTCGTCTCTAATTTTAGTGACCGATTCCAAAATCCATCGCTAACTTTAGGCCATTTTGGGGGAATTTTTCCTCAAAAAAGATACAAATTAGCGACATATTTGATGTCCGTCACTAATTTTAGCGACGGATTCCAAAATCCATCACTAACTTTGGGCCATTTTGGGGAATTTTTCCCCAAAAAGGCACAAATTAGCGACGGATTTGAAATCCGTCACTAATTTTAGTGGCGAATTCCAAAATCCATTGCTAACTTCACTAAATTTCAAAACTTTTAGCGACGGAAAAAATTCCATCACTAATTTTTTTCATTTAGAGACCACAAAGCCATCATTAATCCTTCGCTAATTTTGGCGCTTTTTTTTCCATCTTATTTAGTGATAGATTTTTTGACGTCGCTAATTATCCATCGTTAGTTCATCGCTAATCCATCGCAAAACGAACCTTTTGTAGTTCGCCTCTATTCCGTCACTAAATAGCGATGGATTAAAATCCGTTGCTAATTTCCATCGCTAATTGATTTTTTTTTTGGTAGTGCTAATTGCATAAGCTCCTATAGCTACTAGATAGTAAAATTAATTCCTTATTTGATTAAAACAAAGATCCGATAGAAAAAAATAAAAATTTCTACGAAAGAACTTTTTGGTATAATAATAATTAAAAAAAATTGTCGAAGGGTTAGTGCGTCAATAGTCAAATAACTTAATGAAACTTTTTTTTTCTTTCGATTGTAATAAAAAAGAACTTGAACTAATCATGACTTAAAAATAGATCGAGCATCGGACTCATCAAAAACTATGAGATGAGATTATTATAAGATAATTACCAAAAAAAAATTAATACTCTCTCAAAATCTTGAATCTAAAAAATTCGTTAATTTATTTTAAAATTTTGTAAAGTCTAAATAATATATTTCTTACCGAACATTTAATAATTAATTGGTGTTAAGTTGGGAGTAAACCGTTGGTTTTGGTAAAAAAAAAAACAAAAAGAAAGTATTTTTGAGATATTTAAATTAAATTGAAGGTTTTTTAAATAGATGATTACTTTAGATCTATAGTCGGTCTTTCTAAATTCCACAACGTAGATATATAGTCGGTCTTTCCAACTTCCACAATGTATTGAACTATTAAACAACTTGCATATATTTTAAGTTCTTCAACATTAAAAACATCTAGTAAAACAAATTGAAGATAAGTTTTATTATTGTTACTATCATTATTTAGATTATAAAGAGAGTATACAGATCTTTCCCCCACTTTTCGATGTCTGTCTATATATACCTGACTTTTCCTCGTGTCTTTGATTCCATAAAATTTTGTCTCTACCTATTTGCAGATTGTTGTCCTAGTTCATGAAATGTCTAGTGATTGTAGATATCTGATTTATCTCGTATTTTTTCACCAAAACCTTGGCTAGGTCACCAATTTTTATTTTTATTTTTTTAAATATAAACTTAGATCAAGTGATTGGATAACTTTGCTTAAAAAGAAAAATATTGTCTTCTTTGTTGTCATCTTATGGACCAATTTGTCAATTTGAAGAAACGAAATTAATATGATTTTGGAAAGGACTCTTTGACAGAAGATTATTAAACAATTAAGAGATCTAGTGCATGTTCATAAATTGCTGAACAGGTGACATCAGGAAAGATGATAAATTCAAAGCATATTATATTCTAATCTTTACTAGTTAGATACCCGTGCTACGCTACGGTCAAACAATCATTATATACGTATGGTTAACGATTCGTATGGTATAGTGTGAATAGAAATTTTATTTCTAGTAATTAATGTAAATTGAATCTATATATTAAGCGAAATCTTTTGATTTATGTATATTTATTAAAAAAATATTTAATAATATTAGCATAAAAATTTGTATTTGAATAATCGGGAAGTTCTTTCAAAACATTATCTAACTTATTTTATTTTAAAAAAATTAGAATATGAACAAATAAATAAAAAAAATAATTGATATTATGTATACGGATATATAATTAATTTCTAGCAAAATTAATGAATATATATATATATATATATATATATATATATGATTCGGAGTATATAGAATAAATATAAAAATATAAAAAAATCCATATAAATTGTATGAAATATATTGAAGTCAATAGATTAAAAACTATAACAAAATTGGTTCTAATAAATTCTAAATATCTATATAAAATTAAACTTGTGAATTTTTTTAACCGATTATTAATTAAAAAAAATTGAGTCAAATTATCTAAAACATATTTTTCTCACTCTCTCTCTCTCTCTCTCTCTCTCTCTCTCTCTCTCTCTCTCTCTCTCTCTCTCTCTCTCTCTCTCTCTCTCTCTCTCTCTCTATATATATATATATATATATATATATATATATATATATATATATATAGAGATGGTTTCCTTGATTTTTACTGATTGATATATATATATATATATATATATATATATATATATCAATCAGTAAAAATCAAGGAAACCATCTCTTAAATCAACTCACGTCAAAGTTCTTCAAGTTGTTCAAAAGTTTATGATAGTATAATAACTGAAATATATATTATTTGAACCCTTATTCCATTTCAATTAAGCCATTTTTATTAATAACATTAAAAAATAAGTAATACAATAGAACAATAATTAAAATTTTAATTTTAAAACAGAATTTTTTTAAATTCAATTTCAAGCAATAAAAAAAAAAGAAATTAAACATTTATACCAAGTTACAAAAAAGAACTCTATAAAATTTTGGTTAAATATTTTTAATGAGCATGAGATCATTACTATTCATATTTAAACATCATACAAGTAATAAATATAATTATAATGATTACGGCCAGACAAAAATAAATTTACCATAAACTTGCTTTGCTGAATTGACTTTAAATCAAGCGTCTTTGTGTGCATGTACGCATTTCTGATGAATTGACTTTAAATAACACCTTGCTTTGCTAAATCCTTATATATAAGAAACAAAATAGAAGTAGGCTCAAAAGAAAATAAAGCTAGGCCTGTAAGCCATATTGTAACTTAAAAGAAGTCGATTAGAAAAACAAGCCCAAATGTAATTGTAGGCCTTATGGGTATGGACTAGATAGTTTGATTACATATTAAATTATTTTTTTAATATTTTTTATTTGAATTTTTAAATATAAGTCATATATGTATTTGGACCTTTTAATTGAAAATATAATATTTAATCTCATCAATATATATATATATATATATATATATATATATATATGTTTTTTTTTATCAAATTTTGTTGAAAATAAAATTTGTTAGTCGATCCAATATTGAAACCTCAAAGGGAATATTAATACAATCCAAACCTTGTGAGAAGTAATTGAAATTAATCCAAACCTCAGGGAGATAAATTAAAATTAACCCATATAGATTTGTGAGTTTGTTTCAATGAGATTTTATGGTAGTTGAATTGGTCATATTATTTGGAATTGGGGTTAATCACACCTGAACGTCCATTATATACCTTCTATGAAAATTTGATTACTTGGATCCTTTTACTAGTAATATGATTAATGAGGTCACATAATTAGAAGGTATTACGTTTACAAATACGATTCTCTTTCTAACACACTGTTAGCAACAATTTAATAACTTACAAGATATGCCACAAGTATTTATATACTCAATTTGACATTATTTTTAAATTTAAAGAAAAAAAAGCATGAAAAAATAAATTTTCTTTTTAAAAAATTTTAGAATGAGAAGAAAAGAAAATTTAAAGAAGAAATTTACCTCTATAAATAATATTAAAAAATAAAAAGTATTTAAATTATTAGTAGATGAATTTATTTGGATTTTTCACATTTTTAAACTTATCGAATGCTTAAACATTAATAAACCATTCGACCAAGATTAGAGCCCAGGAGTTTGGGCATCTATTCAGTAATAGTCTTAGTTGCTAATTAAAATTATGACACCTGCACTTCTAAACTTGAATGCTGACATTTTAAACAAAGTTATAATATTCCATTGTTGCAGAAACCAGTTAGTAAAGAATCTGTAGCTATTGCTGGTGAGTGCTTGAGATTTCTAGTGCTTGTACAAACACTTCCAAAATCTAATGAATGTCAGAGAGGTTTCATGAATCTGTTTCTCAAAGTCATTGTCATGGTATCCTCGGCACCAGAAGATGATTCCTCTCAGGTTATTAAATCTCGACACATTTTTAAGTCTTAATTAAGAATAGGATTGTCTAGATTTATCAACATTACTGCTCAATTATTGACAGGAAGTCAGTGATATAAGAACCAATGCTGTAAGGCTAGCTCGTTTCTTCTCTTGCTCAAATTCCTTCATCAGCAGGCCACTAAGAGTTGCATTTGAAGGGAGTGTCTTGTGCGTGCGAGTGTGCACGTGGACATCCATGTAGGCATGAGAGGAAACTAATTTTGAAAGATTCGTCCATTATCAGCAACTCTTATTCTTGGTCTTTATTCTTACGAATGGTTGATTCTAGTAGTTTGTGCATTTTCCTTTGGTTAAACTCATTATTTACACTTTGTTTTTGCTAATTCGTCAAAAGAGCCCTCTGTTATAAATGCAAGAGGATACATGGAGTACCCACTGATATGCCACTAGTTACTCTTGATGTATTATAAAATTTCTTGCTTTTGCAGTGGATATATTAGATTTCTACTTCGGAGTTTATCATGGAACTTCCTTATTGACGGCTCAATATCTACTTTCTGGGGGTAATTCGTGCTCCTGTGGAACAAGATCAAAATGCGTCACTTATGAAACCTATGACGTCATTAGAAATAAAATTACCGGTGCCAAAGTTCTATCCCATCATCTCTTGTTCACTCTGACCATCATGACAGCATGAAAGATGACCAAGAGGACGAAGATGACTGTGATAATTTCCAGTCTTTCCCTGCCTTAGCAGATGCAGTTGGCACTGTTTCAAAAGCAGAAAGTGCTGCAGAAGAACCAGACCTAGTTGAGAAATCTACTTCGGAAAGTGAGTTTGAAGAGTTTCCTACGTCCAAACCCATCAACAATGAAATTGATACAAACAATGCCGAGCATCAAGAGGAAGTGATTTCTGATTACCTAGGGCATAATATCAGAACCAATCTTCAACTTATTGACGATGCGGTAAGCCATGAGGGTGAAGAGGGAGCAGCGTCCAGCCAAGAGAATATAGAAATCTCTCCTGATCTTAAGGTTTTTGAGGATACAGAAGGGTCAATTCAAGTGAATATAGTGGAAGACTATGAGCAGACAAGACAGAGCCCACGTACTAGTATTGATCATCAAGTATCACCAGATGATTTTAAATCAGTTGAAGAGAAAATGCATGTTGAAGTAAATATAGTGCATGTAGACATGGTAACGGTTCCTGAACCGTCGGTTTCGGTTTAGGAACCGTCGGGAAACCTTAACCAAACCTTCTATAGACGGTTTCGGTTTTGATTTGAAACCGTAAAATCGATGGTTTGAAACCGATGGTTCAACGGTTTTTTTATTAAATGAAAAAATAAAAAAAATCGAACATTTTTTCTCAACATTAACATTGAAAAGAAAAAAACTTCTTTTTGCATAATGTATAAATATTATAATATTTTTTTACATTATAATGTATTTCACACAATAAATCAAAGAAAAAAAGAAATAAATAAAAAAGGGCTTGAACTTAATTTTTGTAAACACTACAAAAATTAAGCTTCCTACGTATCCTCTTGAGGTTTAGAGGAATCAAAGCTTACGTAGTTCTCTTTTAAATTTCAAATTATCCCTTTACAAATTACATCTATCTATATAGTTGCGCCTAGTTATTTTCTTAACCGGAAGTTCCGACTTCGAAATTTCGTTTTTGTCGTTGTCGGGGTGTTAGATCCATACTTTCTTCATTGAAATCATATTGTTTTTGTTCTTGTGTTCTCTTATCGGCTCTTATCCAATCATCCACGCATACTTGGTCTTCAAGTGACTCGGGAGCCAATTGTGATCGCTTATCATCTAAAATATTACCTCCGGAGCTAAATGCTCTTCCAACGACTGTTGTTAAAGCTAGCACAGCAAGTATTTGTCTAACTATTATGGACGGGATCTGGAAAGGTGCTTGCATGTCTTTTTCACCAATCAATTACTTCAAAATCTACACCCGCATTGCTATCATCAAACTCAAACACGGTTGTTAGATAAATATCAAGCTCGGAAGTGGAGCCCGATGATCCTCTTGGCCTTTTTGTCCTTTCCATAGCCATAAGATAATCGCTCTAACACGTTGGCTACTTAATAATGATTGTGGCATAGGTGGTAAAGAGGAACTAGGATGTTGATCACCCATAGTTAAAGACATTTCAATATATAAATCTCTAACCTGTTTTATAATAGAAGTAGTTTCTATTTCTATATTTTTATTAAATAATTACAAATACTCATAATAAGTATTCAAAACAGCAGAAAGACCTTCCATTTTAAATCTAGGATCAAAGACTAAAGCAACAAGATAAATAGGTGGAATTGTTTCATAATAACTTGAACCATTTTTGTTTCATTATTTGAACAAGCAGCATGTAAAGTTGGCATATCTTGTTCTACATGATTAAAAGCTTCAACAATATTAATTACTTCAATCATAAATAAATGTGAAGTTGGTTGATAAACGGCACTAAAAGTGTATGTTGCATTGTTAAAAACACTTAAAAGTTCCAAAAGTGGTTCGCAAATATCAAAATCATTTTGACAAATAAAAAGAAAATCAATATTTTTTTAAAAAAATGAGCATAATAAATCTCGATATTCAAAAGACTTCCTAAGTAAGTCATAAGTTGAATTCCAACGAGTTGGAACATCTTTTAAAAATCATCTTGGTTTTTTATTTCTTTCTTTGCAAAACTTTCCCCATGATTTCATCTTTTGGGGATGTGTCCATAAATATTTAGCAAGAGCTTTAATTGGCCTAACAATATCTTTAAGGTATTCCAAACTAGATTGTACACATAAATTTAAAACACGACATACACATCTACTATGGAAAAACTTACCTCCAAGATGGGGTTGACAAAGTTCTCTTAAAGACTCTACTGAAGCATCATTAGAACTAGCATTATCAAAAGAGATTGAAAATATTCTTAAAGGTAAAACATATTCATCTAAAATCTTTTTTAGTATTTTATATATATTTTGAGCGGTATGTTTATCATCAAAAACTCTATATGCAAGAAGACGTTTTTACATGTGCCATTCATTATCAATCCAATGACAAGTTACACCCATAAAAGAGTGCGTTTGCCATTGATCGGATCATATATCAAAATATATAGAAACACGACCATTCAAATTTACAAATAATATAGTTAATTCTTTTTTTTATCTCTATATAATTTTATAACTATTTTTTTAAAGAATGTCTTTCAACTTGCTTGAAAGCAAGATTCAAAGCGCTAGAACCATAATCACTAAAACCTATTTTTTGACCAAAACTAAAAAATCAAACATATCATTTTAGCCATTTCTTCTTTATTTTTTTATCGGTATACTAAAATAAAGAGGAAGATTTAGAATCAAACCCGGATATTTGTGTTTGATGTCTATCATTACCAAGTACGGATGGATGCTTTTTCTCCAAGTGGGTTTTGAATGTTCCATAACCACCTCATTGTTTGAATGTGTATTGCTTGTTGTAGTAATTGCAAATCACGGTAAAAATACATTTTTCTAATAGAACTTTTGAGAAATGAATTTTGAAGATGTCGGATGATCTAAGTGTAAAATTTGATTGTTGTTGTTGCTCCCCTTCCCGATTTTAATTGACGGTATTACTTTGTTGTGATGGCATATGTGAACTTGAACTTGCCATTTTTTGTAGTATAAAGCAATAGAAATGTAAAAATTTAAGAAGTATTTGGAGTATAAAAAATATTATAGGATAGTATTGAGAATTCTAGACTTAAGAGTTTAAGAGATTGAGAGAGAATGAGAGATTGAGTTGTGAGAAGAATGAAAAAAAATTAAGAGTGAGAGAGTATTTATAAAAAAGAAAAGAAAGAAAAAAATAGAAAACGGTCACAAACATTTGTGATCGTTGAGTATGTGACAAACGGTCACGGACCGTTTGTCACACACACACACACACACACACACACACACACACACACACACACATATATTAAGTCAAAATTTAAAAATTATTAGGCTTAATTTTTTTTTCATTTTTCAGTCCAATAGCTATTATCCATCCCATATAAAATTATTTTTTTTATTTAAATTTTTTTGTTTTTTTTTTCGACCCAATCCAATTTATTAAGAAAAATGTGAAACCGTCGATTCTACTGCTAACTCGTCGATTTAGAACCGTCGATTCCGGTTTCATGATATCTTAAATCATAACCAACTTGTAGGTAGTCGGTTACGGTGCGGTTTGATTAAGGTTATGATTTTAACGGTTTCGGTTTGATTTTTTAATGATTTGGTTTTGGTTTAGTTTACGGTTCAAACCGAACCGTTACCATGTCTAAGTGCGAGGCTATGACCGATTGAAGGTTGCTCCGGATCGGCCAAATATTGTTCCGGGGTCATCGAATTCTCTCGCATGTAGAAATGCTTTCCGGACATGAAACTAAGGGGAAAGCGAGAGGATGTAGCAAGTATTGAATATGTTGAAGCTGAAAATGCTACGGGTAAAACCATGGATGAATTTAAGAGCAATGACCAAGCGACAGGATAGTAGTGAGAATTTAGAATTATCAAAATATCAAGATATGGGGAAAACGAGTCTCGTAATCCAATGAAAAACAAGGGGGAAACTCGATGAAGATATTATGGACAAGATGACGGTTGAAAATAAGAGCAATGATAGTGGTAAACTAGAATCTCTCAATGAGACTAACATAATATGAAGTACTTGTTGCAATAGATGCTCTGCATTTTTTTATTTAAGCGCTCCTCGTAACTTGAGGCCAAGGACGGCTATTGATTTTTGTTTTATTAATTTTTAGATGAAGTGTGTTAGGTACTCGCTGGCTAGGGTTTCTTGAGGTGAAAGAAAGAGTGACAGAGGAGGCGGAAGGGTTGAGAAGGAGAAGAAATGAGCCTAGCAAGGAAGGAGAAGAAGAAACTGGAAATATTTGTGGATTAAAACTTGACAACAAATGACTACAACTCCCCCCATTTAAGGAGCAAGCTTGCTCACCTTGTACAAGGCGAGAACCTACTTGGAATGCTGAATAACAACATTCTGTTACAATAAAAAACCGAAGAATAACAATAAAATGAAGGTAATTTGACGATAATACCTCTTTAATTAATGAACTACTCATATTTAGTTAAATAAAGCCTTCTCTTGTTGTTTTGGTATCTAACAATCCCTTATGTTTCAAATCATCCTTGACCTTAAGGATGAAAATTTGGAAATTGACGGGAGATGAATTCGAGCATCTTCCTAGGTTGACTTCTCCACTCTCGTTCCTTTCCACAAAATCAACCATTTAACCCCGACTGGTCTCCTTCTTATACAATTTTCGATCTAATACCTTCTTTGGCTCAAATTCCTCGGTAGGGTTGCAGCTTAAGGTAGACCATGTCTCTTTCCTCAAAAATTTTTTATGTCCTTTTCTTATCTACTCGTGCCTTCATTCTTTCTTGAGCTAATAGTAGCCGTTGCTTGAGTAACTTCAACATCTCTTCTCGTTTGTGCAGGTGTGACTTTACTCGCCGCAACATTGGGAGCCCTCTCAAGCATCGTTGAGTGAATTGATGGTTTGAAGCCATAGAGGGCTTCGGACCGTGTCCTCTTTAAAGAGGTGTGGTAGGTGGTGTTATACCACCATTCTACTAAATAAAGCCAACTACTCCACCATTTGGGTTTGTGAAAAGTTATACACTCGAGGTAATTTTGTCCGTCCGGTTGTGGATGATGAGCCGACCTCATCGTAGTTTGAGTGCCCAATTGTGTGAATAACTCCTACAAAAATTGACTTGTAAAAAATGGATCCTCGTCTAAGACCGTAGTATCGAGAAGCCTATGTAACCTGTAGATGTTCCGTAGGAATTGCTTGGCCACGGTGACTACCGTATAAAGGTGGGTTAAGGCAATAAAATGGCCGTACTTAGTGAACCTATCAACCACTACCATGATGGTGTGCTTTCTTTCGATGGGGGCGGGCCTTCAATGAAGTCCATGCTCATGTGTTTCTAGGCTTTTTAGGTACCGGTAGAGGCCGAAGTAGGCCAAGATATGGAACATTCTTAGCCTTGCACCTCCGGCAAACATCACACTCCATCATTTCCTTTCTAACATCTTGTTTTATGCTTGGGCAATAGAACAGCTTGCCTAGCTACGTAGTAGGTGGCTTTAAACCTTAAGTGTCCCCCACATGAGAGATGAGTGTATGTCTAAAAGAACCTTCGTTTAAGCTCTCCTGTGCTTCCCACATACAGACCTACCTTTATACCTTAGCAAACCACCGGAATAGGAGTAGCGAGGAGGTAGTTCTCCCGGTTGCAGGGCTATCCTAATCAGATTCTAAGCTATAGGATCCCTACTATAACCGTGTTTCACTTCACCCAACCACTATGGTTCCACCATTGTAATTGCCTTTAGTTCAGTAGTATCTTGCTCATATCCATGCAACCTTGACAAAGCATATGCCGCAATGTTCTCTCTTCTTTTCTTGTAAGTTATCCGGTAATCGAGGCCCAATGACTTGGTAAGGCTTGCCTTTTGTAGGTATATGTATAGTTTCGTTGTTGGAGATACTTAAGGTCGTGGTGATCTATTCTAATGTTAAAGTAGTTAGCTTCTAGATAATGCCTCCATTTATCCACTAATGTTAGGATAGCTAGTAGTTCTTTCTTATAAGTATATAGGCCTTGGTTTTTTTCACGTAAAGCCTTGCTGAAATAAGCTATAGGCATCTTTCCTTGCATCAAAATTGCACCCACTCTAATGTCACATACATTTATCTCCGGGATGAATAGCTCTTTAAAGTTGGATAATGTCAATACCGGAGTTGTACACATAGCTTTTTTGAGTTGAACAAAGGCTTGTGTGGCTTCCTCACTTCACCTAAATACATCCTTCTTAAGTAGATTGGTCAAGGGTCTACCGATATTTCCATAGTCTTGATGAACTTTCCGTAGTCGCCAGGTGAGCCTAAGGAATCCCTTAGGTGACTTAAGGTTAATTGGAAGTGGCTAGCCCTTTTGATCCGCACTTTAGATGGATCGGCTTGGCACTTCTTCCCTTGTGATTATGTGGCCCAAGTATTCTACCCGATCCACCCTAAAAGAACATTTGGATTTTTTTTCCATATAATTGGTGTTGCCTTAATGTCCGTAGCACAACCTTGAGATGGCCTAAATGTTCCTCATCCATACCTAGTTAATCTCTTAGATAGTCGACAAACACCTAGTTCATCGATGCTTGGAAAGTGGTCAGTGCATTGGTAAGTCCAAAGGGCATCACCTTGAACTCATAATGGCCTTGGTGAGTCCTAAAAGCCTGTCTTTGGAATATCCTCCTCGACCATTCCGATATGACGGTAGCTGGACCTCGGATCAATTTTGAAAAACATGGATGCACCATATAGCTTATCCATCGTGTCTTCCATCATGAGAATAGGAAATTTATCCTTGATGGTGATGTCATTCAACCCCTTATAATCCACCAAACCTCCAAGAACCATCATTCTTCTTAACTAGTAGGATCGAGGAAGCAAAAGGGGAGTGGCTAGGCTGGATTAGAAAAGTTTGTAGCATTTTTTTCGCTATTTTTTCTACTTCTATTTTTTTAAAATAAAGCTATCTATAGGGTCTCATGTTTACTAGTTTTTTGTTTGGTTTTAGCAAAATGGTGTGGTATAATGCTCGATGTGGAGGTAGTTCCCTTGGCTCAACGAAGAAATCTTTGTACTCCTTTGAGAGCGGATTCGAGTTTGGGTGTGTATCTCTTATTGTCTTCTCACTTATCATCATGAACATATGCCTTGTGACCCATTTCATCCCTTGTTTAAATAACTTTTGCACTCCTTTCCCTTTCAACAAATTGCGGGATCCCTCTCCTTTTTCAGCCTTCAAAGTGATTTTTCATTATCCCGGTGCATTATTACTTCTCTATTTTTAACGTCAAAATATATGAGATTATAGTGTTCCATCCAATCCAACCCGAGCACCACATCACACCCCTCGTATGTCTAACACTCCTAAGTCAGCCATGTAGTCCCTACCTTGTATTATCCACTTAAATTCCCTACATCTAGACTCACTCTTCATTTTGGCCCCTTTAGCCACCGTAACCGTCAGTGGTGTAGTTTGCATTATGATTAATTGTAATTCTCCCACTATACCCTTATCTATAAAGCTATTAGCCTTCCACTCGTCATTCGAATATTAATAATCCTTTTTCCCTACATACCCTTTGATTTTGAAAGCATTAGGGAAGCCTTACCACTTAAGGCATGTAGGGAAATGCCACTCGTCCATCTCGCCTACGAATTCTTCTTCCATTGTTAGCTATTCTTCCTCCACCCTATCTTTGTCCAAGTAGCTCACTTTGCTCCGTTTCCTCTAACATCAAGTGTAGCAGCTTGTTTCAATTTGCATTTATTCCTTAGGAAATATCTATTTTCACACTTAAAGCATTTCCTAGGTTCCCTCCTAAAATCACTTCTATTGTTTGGTCTATTTTGGTAATCCTTTTACAGTTGTAAAGGTTGGTGTCCGTTGGTAATCAAGGTAGGGTATACTGGTTTTATGATAATGGTGGTAGTGTGGGAAGGTTTTTGAATTTGGGAGTAGTGTATATTTGGCGGTTTGTTGGGGTTGTATATGGTTTTTCGTAGGGCCTCATTGAGCTTTGCTTGCTCAAAGGCTTCTCGGAGGTCCACAAGTTTGAACCTCTTCATAGTCGGGCTTAGGTTTCCCCTTAACCCTCCTATGAAGACCTTGACCAAGTACCGTTCGTGAAGCTTGGATTCATCCTTTTCACTAAGGATTTCGGATGCTCAAACCTCTCCTAATAATCCTTCATAGTTCTAGTTTGTTTAAGCCTCGTGGAACTCCTTTATTAGAGCTATTTCGTCTTTTTCACCAAACCTCTTACACAAATCCTCTACAAACTCCTCTCGCTCTAGCCTTCCTTTATCCTCTTTCCATTCCCGATACCATATGTCGGGTTTGATATCCGAAACACGACAGTAGTCTTAACCTTAGCCTCATCTCTCGATTTGATACACTTAGAATACCTTCGACATTTTGAGCCCACAATCTAGGGCTTGTCCCATCAAAGTATTGGAAATCCATCTTTGGCCATAGTTGATTAGGTGCTTGGTGATTAGTGGGTGAGTCTTGGTTGGTTATGGTGTATTAGTTAAGGTAGGGGCGAGTGGCATGTCCGGGGTGTGGAGAATGAATGTCTATTGGTGTAGGCAAGATACCTTTTCCGTGTCTATGGTATTATTGGATGAACTCGCTAGCTTTTGTTTATCCACCAATGTTGGCAGGTTGAAGAGTCCTCATAGCTTCCATCAAACCTTGTAAGGTCCGTTGGTTTTGGGTCAACATTTATGTATTTTGCTCTAGGTGTTGGTAAGTTTCTTTTTGAATGTTGGTTACTTTAGCTTGCAATACTAAAGTTGGCCCTATAAATTTTTGACTTGTTCATCTAAGGTCTTGAGCCCGATACCTTTAGCCATGGTGTGAAAGCTTTGATACCACTTGTTAGGTACTTGTTGGTCGGGGTTTCTTGAGGTGGAAGAAAGAGTGAAAGAGGAGGTAGAAAGGTTGAGAAGGAGAAGAAATGAGTGTAGTTGCTTGGTTGCAAGGAAGGAAAAGAACAAACTGGAAATATTTATGGATTAAAACTTGACAAAAAATGATTATAATTCCCCCATTTAAAGAGCAAGCTTGCTCCCTTGTACTAGGCGAGAACCTATTGGAATAACACCATTCCGTTACAATAACATACCGAAGAATAATAATAAAATGAAGGTAATTTGACGATAATGCCTTTTTAACTAATGAACTACTCTTTTTAGTTAAACGGAGCCTTCCCTTATCGTTTTGGTATCTAACAAAGGGTTGGCTTTTAATTTCTTCATAGATGTCCCTTTTAATGATGCACTCGCAATAGCGCAAGTTGTTGAGTTCATGATGGA